CAAGAAGAAAAGCTAGATTTGGAATTCTTGAGGCAGTTCTCGGAGGCTGTACAGTCTAGGGACGTGGTTGTCACAGGGGACCTAAACTAACCAGACATCTGCTGAGAGGAGCAGTAGGCCAAATCCAGTTGTTTGCGTAGGTCCTTAACCTGTGTGCGGGACCTTCACCTAATGCAAGAGGTATACGGTCGCACTAGGGGAATGCCTTACTGGACTTGGTATTGGCTATGTGGGAGGACCAGCTGTATAGTAGTTACAGTGACAAGGTATTTTAACTGATGTGCTGGCTCTTACAATACACTCTTACATGTTAATGCAGTGTTTTGGATATGTTTGCATTAACTAGTTTTTGCATTTTAGAAAACAACTGAACAGTGGAAGGTACGAACAATTAACATAGAAGACTTCATAGCAATTTATCGAACTCTTGCTCACAGAAATGAAATTCAGGAACTTTTCTTCAGTTATTCTCCAAACCACAAAATATTGACTGAAGTGAACCTGCTTGAGTTTCTCAAAAAAGAACAGTTTGAAACTGAGGCTACTGAAGCAACTGCCTCTGAACTCATTATGAGATATGAACCCATTGAAGAAGGTACATTGCAGCTTAAACATACGTTACATACTGGATATTCAGTTTTAATCAACAGAATATATTTTCATGTTATTATGAATGCATGTATATTTTAATACATGTCTGATTTAGCAAATTGTGGTGCCTTTTAGTAAAAAACGTGTGTGTGTGTGTGTGTGTGTGTGTGTGTGTGTGTGTGTGTGTGTGTGTGTGTGTGTGTGTGTGTGTGTGTGTGTAATGTATATAAAATTGCATACCATGTGTACTCTGTTCCCAAAAATCGACCCTCTAAAATTGGGTTAGGTGTTTCTTAAGCAGGGAAGCTCATTTGTCTTCACTGGAATAGAAACTTTGAATTGCTGTTGTAATGGTTGACACTTGTCTCTGGAGTAGCACACATCAGGAGCAGAGTCCAATTAGGTCGTGGCTATGAAAGGGTTAACAGCGTGGTATTTGCCAGTGAGCTGCTACATGCAGAAAAAAGCTTTTTTTTTAACTACGTTCTGCCTTCCAAAAACAATGTACATGTCTTATCTGGGGACATGTGGTATGCAAGAAAATATGGCATCTAAGAGGCAATTTGAAACCTGTTTGTAAGTATATGGACAAAATAGTAGTTGTTCTGCTAGTCGTAATCCTTAAACTACTACTAGAAAGAAATTATTACTACAGCACTATAAGCATGCGTGTGTCTCAATTTTAGCTCCTAAAAGTCTGCTTCAAAGTATTGTAGCTAATATTGGTCCAAAAAGTCATTTTATTGATCAAAGGCAACTTGAATCATGAACTGGAGTGAAGAAAAAGAGAAAACACTTTCTTATACTATTTTCTTCATCATGAGTTATTGTTCCTTAAAATTTAAGTTAAGAAAAACTAGACATGTACTTAAGATAAAATAAAAAACAATGTTTTGATAAATTACTTATTGTACAATTTGCTACCTTTTCAGTTATCTATCTGGGTCAGTCATTTCTAAGATAGAATAAATCGCATCAGAATTAAATTATATTTGAGAGAGTTGCTTTACAGCCAGATTAAACTGAAGCTTTTTTTGCGTGTGTAAATTCCATTGGTTTATTTAATTCCTATGTTTATGTTCATTTTTGTTAGGACATTGTTGTCAGTAAAATGTAGGACATAGCTTATATTTCTTTCTCAAATCAAGAACTGAATAATGTAAGATTTCAGTGTAGTGTTTCAGCCATGTCACTCTTCCAGCCTGATTGTGTTGTTTTAACAGTAATATGTATCTGCATTTGTTTCAAGCAATGCGGTCACATTTCTCAGACTTACAACATTAAAAAGGTATCAAAGATGTGAGAAGTTGAAATATAAGGTATATTGTAACTGCTGTGCAAAAATTAACATCAATAAGACCTGGTGCAACAAGATGAGTCTTAATTCTCTGTTAAGGTCTCGGGTTGTCTACAAACTTAGTTAAAAAACACTGCATTGGTTTACATTTGGTTAATTTTCTTTCATATAAGCTGACCCTTTTTTGAGGAAAATTGTTTTTCTCCCTAAATATAACTAGATAACTGCAGTCTTTGAATTGTTATTGCCTTTTATAGCATTACACAAGAGGATCCAATAACCAAGAAAAAGTACCCAAAGGGTTACATGCAATAAAATTCTAACAAAAAGTATCCTCTGTACCAAAGGTTAATTTTATCATAGGTTTATTATATTGTCTTTAACATGCATTCCAGCTGAACATTTTAATTAAATGGAAACTGTTTACAGATCTAAAAGAAGACAGACCCTTATTAAAAGGCCAGACTTGACTTTCACTTTGGATTCCACCTTCAAGATTTTGGATCCAAAGAGCTGTGGCATTAGGGATTTAAAATCTGAATTTTCCCAATATTGTGAGGGAAATAAGGGAAAAGTGAGCGGTTGCACTTATACCATTGTTATGCAAAGATGGTTACAATTTTCTTGCCATGAAGAATAAAAATGTGTAATCATTTAAGTCTGCCAAACTGGGCATAGAATCTGAAGCTTGAGCTACATTCTTTCGGTTCATGCATCACTATTAGTATTAACAGTTCTGCAAGTCAGATTCTATCCTCATTTTCATGTGTGCAAATAAATGGTCATCAACATATGTTTGTCATATCAGGTTTCAATGTGGTATCAAAGAGGGCAAGACCAAGAGTTGTGACTAATTTATGGTGATTTTTGTATTATTTTGTGCATTTTTTCTTTATTAAAAATAGTATGTATGCATAACTAAATAAAATACATTTATTTGCTTAAAATTGGTGTCGTCTTATTTTAATTTCTTTATTCTCCTTTTTGCGTGTCCAGATTTCATTGCTATTTTCATGCTGTTTTGTTTTTTCCCCTTTTTTTTGTTGTTCTTTTCTCTTTGTGTTTCTCTTTTGTTATGTTGACTAGCTCTCTTCTAGGGTTACCATACTTCCAGTTACAAAAAAGAGGACACCTGTGGAGGGAAGGAGAGAAGGAAAGGGCCGCCCCCCAGCCCTGCCCGTGCCCTTCGCTCCTGACTCACAGCCCCCTGCCCCCACCAGCCCTGCCCGTGCCCCTCACTCCCAGACACAGGGTCAAAAAAACACATGCCCGGGAAAACCTGAACGTATGGTAACCTTACTCTTGACTTTCAGAATCAAGTCTTTTTACTAAGTTTTCCCCAATATCCTCTATCTGTGTTTTCTCATTGTCTCCCCCCCGGCTCCCTTTAATTGATCCTTATTTGGGGAAAAAGGAAGAGAATTGTTAGGGTTTGCTTGTTCTATTGACTTTTCCCCCTCTGTAGCTTAGTTTGCTCACAGATGAAGCAGTTCTGTGGAAATGGAAGACCACTCCTTTTAATTGCTACACTGCTGTCTTGGATTTAGACTCTGGATAGAGCAGGATTCAACCAGGAATTTGTTTAGCCTGTAAAAGCCCATCTGTCTCTACTGCACTTCAGTTAGTGAAAGCAGCTGCCTGAAACTGTAATGTGCCTTCTCTGCTAAGCTTCATAGCATTGTGACCAGAGGCAAACTTTGCAACTCAGCTGAGAGCTGAGTGCAGCTTGTAAAGAGGCTGTCACTCAGTTAGTTGTGTGTGGAAGCTGAAGTCCTGACATGCCTCGTGAAATTAACCTTGTGAGCTACTCTATGAGCTGTGCTTAAGTTAGCTTCCCAATATGGAGGGCACAGTGATTCAGGATTAGGACATGCATATAGAGCCCTCTGCATACCATTAATTAATACAAAAGCAAGCAGGTAATGAATGAATTATTTATACTATTTATAAAAGTTGATCATAGTTTTGTTTTCTATGTAAAGTTTATCTTGGTTGACTCATTTTGGCAGTAGACACTTGCTAGACTGCTTCAGACTTTATTTTTGTATTACAAAAATAGCTTAATGAAATTTGTTATGAATAGCGTGTATGAAAGAGGACTTTGAGCTGCAATCCCAGAACATTCCAAAATGCTTTGCAGAACTATTGAATAGCCGCTTCTCTATCCTCGAAACGAGCATAGGCTCCTTGTCCTACTAGCCTTACATTTACTTGCTCCCTACTCAGCTAGCCTTTTCCTTTGGAGCAGCTCGGGGCTCTGGACTGATTCTGTCTTGTTTCTAGTTTCTGTGGATTCTTTGAGTTCTTGCTTTCCAGTCTGAGGCATTGAGTGGCACTTGCAAAAGGATGAGGAACAGCAAAGCTGAGAGAGGCCCAAGAAAGAGAAGATAAATTGTTGGCATGGGCAATATGGAGCATGACTCAGCCTTGGCATGCTGCTGGAGCCAGCCCTTCCCGTGGTGTTGGCACAGAAACCCTATTTGTCTTCCTACAAGAAACTGAAAGACTTTGATGTTTTATGAAATGTTACTCACTGTCCAATAACAGCTATACACCTTTGTTCACTCAACCTGTTCTTAACTGAGGTGGTCTTTCAGGATAGGGCAACGTTTTACTCTTCCTGAGACGTAATGTGTTAACAGGGTATTAGGTAAGGTGTTAAAACAGCCTAATTTAAAAAAAATCTATATCTATTTTTGCCTGAAAAATGGTAAAAATATGCTAATAGATTGATTTAATCATTCAAAAAAAACCAACCTTGAACCCATCAGAATATACTCTTGCTGTTATGAAAGATGTCTATAGTCAAGTGTTTATCCATATGATGTTTAGTAGTTTTGGTTTCTGTTTTGAATTCTAAGCAAAATTGCTATTTGTTTTTCATCTGGTTTGTTTTAATACTTGAAAATAGTATTTAACGAAAAACACTGTATGGTGCTCACGTACCTATAATTCAATAAACGCTCACACTTGAGATCACTTTGTGCATAATTTATGACATGATTGGCATGGTAGTTGACTGATGTGCTACAGTAAATAGACCATTTTGTGCAACTGTCATTCTGAATTCTGTGTAGAATATGTTTAATCATGACGGTCTGGTGAAATCATTTGTCACTCTTACTATGTGTATTGCAGTAAGTGAAAATGGCAGATTTTGACACATGAGTGACTAGTCCGCCACTAGTTACAGCCATAATCTGATAAATTTGATAGCATGGCTTGTCAAGGTGAAAACAAGCATTGACCAAGCTCTGTATATGTAAGAAAACATAATAAATCCATTAAATATTATTATGACATGAAAAGATGTCTTTTTGTAACCAGGTAACCTTCAATTAACTAACAATCTGAGGAAGTACAACTTCATTGTTAATTTCAGTAATACCATGAAATAAGCTGCTTTTGAATTTATTCCACCACACAAATTTCAGTTAGTAAAAGAAGTTGTAGGCAGTGATAACGCTTTCTATGTTTGGCAAATGGATGCCTCTTTTGGGAAGCTGTTGTAAAAGTAGAGAATGCATGAATCATACTTGACAGCTCTTCTTCATTTATCATCCAAATTTGAGCTGGGTTTTACACAAACCTTCTGTTATTCCTCACTTTTATTGTTACAAATTTATATTGGGAGTCCTGAATCATAAAATAATATAAAAGAAAACATCTTTTATGCTAAAAAAATGAGTCCTACACACTTTTAAGGG